TGTGAGGGGTGTGGGGGTGTTTGTGCAGGAGTAATGCCGGTGGTCTTGATCCAGCATCTAGAATGGCTCAGGAATCTGGAGAAGGTGCTGTGCTTAAATTAATAAAGAGTCCAGAGACAAAACATAATTTTGAAAGGCATTATGGGGAGTCAGAGAAGATTTTGCTAAAGGAACTAAGTTCTCCTTGCCTCAGGTCCCCTTTCTATTTATTAACACAATGTGTCCTAAGGCAAGGTAGATATACATCAAAGGCCAGGGTTTATATACACAATCCATTGTCAGATTGGGGAATTGTCTACGGTTGTTCAGGTGTTTGGCCAGTAGGAGGCAATAACATGTAGACTGACATGTCTGGCAGCCAGCTGTCATTTTATGCATCCTTCTCAGGTTTGGAGAAATGCCCTCAGCCATTTCCAGATGATTCAGCCCTGCTGACGTGCTGGAATTGGCTTCCGGCACAGGAGGCAGCCGATGGATGTTTCTCTCTCTCCCTCTCTCTCCCTCTCCCTTCCCCACTCTCTTAAAAAAAATCAATAAAAACATTTTGAAAAGTCAGTGGGCTCACAGGCCATAGTTTGCCAACCCCTGGTCTAAACTATTATACCTCTAAAAAATGCCACAGATGTGTCAGATCCCTGAATATTCACAGGTTTATTCCCTATCACCCGAGGAATATATCTCTTACCTAAGCATTCACAGCTCTAGTCACTTTCTGCTACAGGGTCCAACTGGCATGGTGTCATCAGTATAGTGGACCAGTGTCCAAAATGTCCAGGTAATCAAGGTTCATTGTCATCCTCCACGATCTATTTAATTTAAGCAAGGATTAAACTGGTTAACTGAATGGGCTATTATGGAGATAATCACTCCTGCCTCCTTTAAGTGGTTGAGAGTGAGCAACTCACTGCAGGATGTTCTATTTTTTTCAACTTACCATCTTTGCCTAGGGTTGCAGATCAGGGAGAACTTTTAGGGGTTTCCTCCCAGTGATGGCGAACCTATGACACACGTGTCAGAGGTGATTCATTTTTTTGGTTGATTTTTCTTTGTTAAATGGCATTTAAATATATAAAATAAATATCAAAAATATAAGTCTTTGTTTTACTATGGTTGCAAATATCAAAAAATTTCTATATGTGACACAGCACCAGAGTTAAGTTAGGGTTTTCAAAATGCTGACACGCCGAGCTCAAAAGGTTCGCCATCACTGTCTTAGCCTTTCCAATCACTCCACAGAGAACCAATGAGAGGGCTCTTCCAGCTTCTAAGTATTCCACAGCCTTTGGACTTGGCCTAGGACTCCATTTATCACTTGGCCACTAAACATCCTCTCTAATAAAGAGGCTGATGATATTTTGGGTCACTTGGTATCCATCTCAGCTTATCCACAGCCCTTAAAATACTCAAATATTTACTTTACTCAGTGTACAGTTAATCTGATAAAAATCTGTTAGGTCCCTTTGAGGAAGAATTGTTAATAGCTACTCTAAGGACTTGCTATGGTGTTTCAGCGACCTTCCTCAAGGGGGCACAACAAGTCAATCAATGGATTCTGAATCAGAAATCCACCTCAACTCTTGAAACTAGACAAGAGACCATGATTTTCTTTGTGGTACTAACCCACTCAAGATCTTTTTTGGATATATAAATCAATTAGTACCTCATTTGCCTGCCCATACATCTTGCTCCTAGATACCATGGTTTATTAGTCCTTGCCACAGATTCTTGAGAGTCAAGGCCTCCTGGTTGTCACTCTGGCCTTGCTATTCACTCAGAGAATTGCATTGACCTGTCTTCCTAGAGGCTTATTGTGGCAATTAATGCAGCCAATTAATTCCACTAATCTTACCTTCGCTCTGATAGTTCTATGCTGTGGACTTGCTTCTGCTCTTCCAGAATCCTATTATCTCCACTGACACCAGGGAGCCCAGTTTCCCAGAAATATTTCCAAATGTCAACGTTGGCTATGCCATCCAGGTTTGTGTAAGTGCACTCTATGATGTTCATACAATGAGGACAGACAACACTGCCTTTGTCAGATGCTGGTGTCTCCCCCGTGAAGCATTCCTTCCTGCTTTAGTGAAGACAGTGCCTCCGTGTCTCGTGGTCATTTAGTGGTTCTCTGGCGTTGCACCATCAGTCAGTTCTAAGATGCTCACCTTTCTGAGCCTTTGACCTGTTCATCTGCCAAGGAATTTCCAGCATCTCCGCCTGATTTACTGTAGGCATCATTTTCCCCAAAGTTTAAGGAGATATTCCAGGAGCTTATTAGGAGCGACTCCAGGAGACCTTGCCAGAACGAACTGGGGGAGGAGAAAGCAAAGAGCAAAAATCAGTTCTGAGCTGAGGGGAGGGTGACACCTCGAAATGGATGACAATTTGAAGTCTTTAGCTAGGTGTACCTTTTAATACCTGAAAAGGGAGACTGTTTTAACACCCAAGAGTGAATTGAGAGTCATTGGATCTGCCCGAGACATCTCCAAGGCACAGGAGAGAGAGCCAACAGTGTTTTTGAAGGCAAAACTAGAAGAAAAACAGAGCTGTTCCCTCATTGTGCACTACCAATTATAGATGGTTCAAATAACCTGTTGTACAAGTGCTGAGGGCAAAATGTGTTGCTGCCTTCCATTTCCTTGAGTTGTTTTTTCCACTTAGAAAATGTGTTACACTGAGTCATTATGCAGTATAAAACCATTAGGGTATTCTGTGTTTATAAACCTAGGGGACAAAATACATTAAATCTGCATACCACACTATGTGAGCTGGTCTTGGAGACTGATTAAGTAGTAACCTAAGTGCCGTACAAATAGTCTTAGACATGGGCTGTGGAGCTCAGCGAAGAAAACATCACCCATGGTGTGGGGGTTGCTGGTAAAAACGGGTTTCATGAAGGAGATGGTATTTTGAAGTGATGAGTATGATTTTGAGAGAGAGAGAAAAAAGTCTTTCCAAGTAAAGGGAACAATAACAGGAAAAGGTGTGGCGGTATGATACTAGGGATGAGAATTTCAGTTTAGATGAAACAAGGGACCCATGTAGGGATGTTTCAGAAAACAAAGTCTGAAAGACGCATGTGGCCTGCATCTGGAAAGTCCGGGACACCAGAGAGCAGGATTTATATTTCCTATGGAGGGGCAGGAATGATGGATTGAAATTCAAATACTTCCCTTAGTATTTTTTTTCAAATAATTTCTTGAATATGATCTTCAAGTTCTCATTTATAAACTAAACCTCAAGATAGAGGTTGGTTCAAACTGGCCTTATGCAGCCTAGGAGCACCCTGAATCATCTACCTCCCTCTCCTTTGCAGGTCCACCCCCTTAATCATGAAGCCCCCAGGACAATGAGGTTCTGGCCAGCATCACATAGTCTTAGGAACAAAGCCTTGAGTCTGTTGTCCACAGAGACAGAGTTTTGGTCAATCTATAGATAACATCTTGGCCTCAGTTATGTTTCAGCTCCAGGCCCAGAAACCAAAACCATCCCACTGAACAAATCCTTGCAAAACTAAGCAGAATGACACCAGGGCTGATATCAGGACCAGATGCAATGATCAACTATTCTCTACCCTAGTGCTAACCAATCAATGGAGACCACGAGCCTAACTCCCTTAGTCCCTTATACAACCCATTTCCTAGAAGCCACCAGGGAGCCAGGTCTTAGAGCAGCCGTGGGCAAACTACGGCCCACGGGCCGGATCCGGCCCATTTGAAATGAATAAAACTAAAAAAAAAAAAGACCGTACCCTTTTATGTAATGATGTTTACTTTGAATTTATATTAGTTCACACAAACACTCCATCCATGCTTTTGTTCCGGCCCTCCGGTCCAGTTTAAGAACCCATTGTGGCCCTCGAGTCAGAAAGTTTGCCCACCCCTGTCTTAGAGCAACAGCTCACCTGTGACTCTGGTTTTGGTGACATTTCCTTCAATAAACCTTCACTTCATTTGCTGCAATCTGCTGTTCTCGTCCGATTTTGATGCATGCAGGCGCATGGAGTCCTTTCGTTTGGTAACAGAGGCAAGTCCTGTTACTCAGGCATGCTCCTGGATTTGGCAACCTCCTTGAAGTTCACTTACTGCCTTGCCCCATTCTGATTCTGGTCTGAGTACAGACAGTAAATGGTTCACTACTGTGTTGGATCGTGGGAGCAAAGAGCCCTTCTTTCTGAAGTTGATCATGAAGCTTCAAGTTGAATAGTAGGATCCAGCATCAAATAGTGTGTTTACCTTGACAAGCATATGCTTTCCCCTCGCTTGATCTTCAAAAGGAAGAGTTATTAGAATACTGGTAAGGTGTCAGAAACATACCAATAACTGTCTCAGAGAGTTGGTGTGGGGATGTAAAGTGGTTATTACTTCCTGGCTCACAGTAAGCACTCAATGTTAAGTTCCCTTTACATAGATTTTCTATAGAAGGGAGTAGCACAGAGTAAGTAATTTATCTCTTACGAACTCTCTCTTTGAACACTGCCTCCCATCGGCACCTGCCCAGATAATTGAAGACATTAAATCCCTGACTAATTATATTTCCCATTCCTGCAGACATTCTTCATGAGATAGTTTCAGCCTTGCACCTTTCTATCCCATTCTGGACCCCTATGGTTTGATGCTGCCCCTCTATGATGCAATACCTGAAATAGTACTCAATTCCCAGGTATGGGCTGACTAGTGGAACAAAGAGTTCTTTTACTATAATTCTGTTTTTCCAGGCTAAGATTTCTTTAGGGTTTTGTTTTGCTTTGTTAAGTAGCCGCAACTTGCCATTGACTCATATTTAGCTTCCAGCCAACGGAAACCCTTAAGTTTCTTTTCTTTTTTTCTCTCCCCCATGTGATGTTGTTAAGCCATCTCTCCCCTACCCAGATCTTGGACAGTTTGTTTTTCTGTATCTGAGTAAAGGACTTCTCATGGCTGTTAAATTCCAGCTTGTTAGATTCATTTTCTCCATTCCAGCCGTTAGTGTGTCAACAATCCTCTCCCATAGGACCAGTTACATATCTTCTTCAAATTGGATTGATTTTCTAATGATGTCCTTTATTGACAACTATAGGGCGCGGCTACAGTGTCTTGGCCAGGTTCAAGCCTCGGACTAATGAAAGGACAGGGTCCTCTCATTGTCACGTGCAAGTCCCAGCTGGAGGGCAGGGCCCTCCCAGCACAATCATAGCCAA